ATATATATATATACTTCAAAAAATATTTGCCATATGATATACCTTATATATTAATGTTTCAATATGATTCAAGATATGCTAGATATCTCAGTATATACCTATGTAAGATGATTCAATTATCTTGGACTCACAACAATTGACGTTCCTGTCTGCAAAGAAGTTCCAACCCCGAAACCGACGTTCCCCTCGACCTGATGCCCAGATCCGCCACCTCCTGAGCTTCGGAGCCCTTCGGAGCTTCAAAGCCCAGGTAGGTCCAAGGTATACACCCGCATGGACCAGAAGACCCACATAGAACCGGGCATGGACCGGCAGACCATTTTACACCATCCAAGTGGTTTCTCCAGTTCCATGTGGGTCTCTTCCAGGGCGTAGAATTGCTGGACATTTTTGTTCCCACTGGTCACCATGGGTTTAGCCATGGTCGCGACAAAGCTTCAACCATCCTAAGGAAGATTCAATTATCTTAATGATTCTTAATGTATCTGTTTCGGACTCATAACTGGTAAAATGTGTGTCTTGTTTTATCGTTTTTGTGGGGTATCATGTTTTGAAGGAGCTTCAAGGAGTTATGTATCTGAATAAACCACTATGGCCCAATTCCTTAGTACCGCCAGCAAACCATCTTGAAGGAACCTGATTCAATGGCGATCTCAGCAGATCTCACCAAACCGGGCGTTGCACTCCCTCCGTTGGTCTGACGCACCCATTGAGTGTCCCGAGGACATCTGCAGAAACATTTGCAGGATTTTGACCCATGAATCAAACAGAGACATGTTTTCTCTAAGAAGCACATCTTCAACCCCTTTGTTTTCAGCATAGACATAAGCCAAGGATATGCTGATGCCTGCAATATCGGCGATCTTCCCCCAGAAACTTAGACGCCAAGCCAAGCACCCGGACGCCAAGCCCCTTAGCACAATTTGAGAGGGCCCTAAACAGGTAAAACTGAAGAACACACGTTTCTGCGTCAATTAAACATATACTTTCACTAGTTGCTCATGTAATGTATATATATACTAATATATATAATATAATATGACATCATATTCACAAATGGAAGACACTAAGCACAACATATCCCAACCAACACCCAAATAGGGGTGAAAACAAGCCCCACAACATCCCACGAAGGGCGAGGAAACACCCATCGGGATCTCCTCGTTTTCGTTGAGATCAAACGGCATTTGGATGTGCTCTTCCTGCGATCGTTTTCGTTGAAAGCATGAGGCAAACAGAAGGGGCTTGAGCATCCAACAGAATGCTTACATGCTCTGAATGAACCTGAATTCTTCTGATATTAAGACTCGTGGTGTCGTAAGATGCCTACATACATGACCTACATTAAAAAACAAGAATAGATGTACTTGGCTGGCTCTTGTGTATGTTGGTGCTGGATACCTATTAGCTTTCCAGGGGGGTGTCGCTAGAGATATCTATATAGAGATTTTATAGACATAATTTGGTATGGGTGACCCTGGAGAAATCTCAAGCTTCGTCTGTTCAGAAAGTTCAGAAACTCTGGCACCCTTGACTCGGCAGGTCACGCGTGCTCCGGCTTGGCTTTCGGGTGCGAAACCACATCTGACGGTCTAATCGTCGACCCTATAGACATTCCCCCCTTAAGCCCTTCTCCCTCATCTTCACGTGTCCACCACTCCTCACAGGGTTGCTATAAAATAGAACACATTCCGATGTCAAGCTGCCTCACAGGGTTGCTTCACTGCATTTGAAGGTGGCTGATTCACAGTGCTCAAACAGCTTGTATAAGACCCACCAAAGAAGAAACCCGCAGATGACGCAGGTGGTTCGTTGTGTTGGCTTCCTCTTGGACCACCTTTGGATCCCATACGCTCCAGAATTATGATCTATATATAGGAATATTTACATACATCGACCTCGACTTCAACTACCCCATAGGGCTAGATAGAAATGGTTTCCAATACATTATGAAAGTTGTTTTTTACTTTTCAAGTACGTGTCTATCTATTTTTGGGTCATGTAATATTCCAGTCCTATGGAGTCTTTGGGGATGGGACCGGAGAAGAACACCCGCCCAGACCTTCATCATCGCCGTCCGGCTGCGGCGGCTCAGGAGCGTCCGAGGCTCCTGGGCTTCCCCAAACGAAAAAGCTTCGGACAGGCAAATGCATCAGGGCTCCTGGCCTACCTCCTTTTCGAAGATGGTTAGGGTGGGTGCCAGGGGGGTCTAACCACCTGAGGATATGGGCCAGGAGCCCTACAGGATCAGTGCCATTCAGTGCCTACCTGGATTACCTCCTTGCCAACTCTAAGAATCGCGGGGCCCTTCTCCAATGCAAAGAGTGGAAGGGAACCAGGTCCGTCCCCGTGCCATTTCGGGATTTCGGGTCAACCTGAGAAAACCACGAAATCCGTACATGCCGTACATGTGGTGTTTTTGGTGGTGAAAGTAGGCCTTCTATTTGCATCCATGAACCATCTGGAATAGCTCTCGGATGGATCGGAGAGGCTTCCCGCACGGTGGCCTCATGAGGCGTTTGGGAAGATTCAGCGAGCCTTCTATAGATCGATATACATTTTGCGTATCGTCTTGGATGTGCTTCAGGGACCGACTGAAAAAACTGATTCCAAGGAAGGAGATTCACTCATAGGAAAAATATGGGACACCAACATCACCCTAAGCAACACCAGGTGCAGGGATCTTGCTGAGGCAGAGGCAGGACGTGAAGACCATTGATGACGATTGATGACCTATTGCATCCAATCAACCATTGAAGCTTTGTTGTAGATTGATGTGGAGGCCGAGTGCTTGAACCAGCTGCCAGCGCCGGCATGATGCTCTACAGTAGGGACTGTCCAGCGGATCCGGAAAGCTAAAAAGAAAGGACCCACAGACTCTGCAGGTAGACTGGTGTCAAAGAGACATCCCCACTGCTAGTGTGGTTGGCACAAAGTGGTTGACTGGATACCAATTCTTGAGCAGATTGAGTGATTGCGCAACAACGATCTCAATTACCGAGTGAGCTCTTAGTCTCAGTGGATGTCCGGTCCACCCCTACAAGTCTCGTTTTGTTTTTTTATATTTTTTACAAAGTGAATGTTTCTCCATGGCCCTCGCTGTTGCAGGTCTCCTCCGGCCGACTTGGAGCTTCCACTTCCTGTTTCGATTCCGTCGTCCAGGCGGAGCTCTGGGGTTGTCTCGGTCGTCCAGGCGGAGCTCTGAGAAGATCATGGAAAGGACGTCGACCGTCGACCGTCGACATGTTTCTGCTTGTGCACATGATTGATGATTCGACACCATCTCAAGCTCAGTATGTATATATATATATATATGTTGGATCTATCCTATTACCAGTAGCAGTGGATAATGATCATTAGTAAAGGCCTTGTGCAAACATAGTGATCATTGTTGACTGACTGTAATAGGACAAACCCAATATATATATAATATAATATGCAATATATATCTATATTATGTATCCTTCGGTTCTTGTTGCTATCTTGTTGCTCCCTTTGGAGCAAGAAATAAGTTATGCAGAAATACATAGAGGCCTAACATCTCTGGGTCATTGGTTTGAACACATCTGTTCAAGGTCTGCTTCTTGCCACTCGCACTCCGAGTCGAGCAACACACGGCCGCCGCTCCGGCCTTCTGCACTGGCTTGCTGCCACTGCAGCCCATCGTGCCGAAGTCAAGTGCAGCTTCTAGGCTTCACGGTAGACCGATTTGATGGACATCTTAGGATGCCAGGGGTCAAAAGCCAAGTTACAGCTTCAATCAACTTCTTAGCACATGAATCATGAATGCCTCAAAATGGGTCGCAAACTGTGGTCCTTGAGGAGTTCAGTCGTCAAATTGTGCGTTTCTGTAAGCGAACTTCTATCAAATCTTGGTGTCTGATTCTGCACCCAACACACCTCCTCTTCCAAGAAAATCCGCGAGCACCGAGCCCACCGAGGGACGAAGCCCCCGAGCCCGCGGAACACCACGCGGAGCTCGACTCACCACATCACCCAAGGGCTGAGAAATGCCATCCGCGGCGCGGCGCGGTCGTGTCGTTCTACGTTGTCGCCGGCGGAGGTGTGACCCGGTGACATGTGCGACCGTGCGACCGTGGGAGGTATTGAGGTTGGTGAGAGGTCGGTTTCAAGATCTGGAAAACACCTTCAAGCAATCAAAGTCATGGAACTCTTCTCTTTCAGAAACCCAAATATCACCTCTTACTTGAAAAATGATCCTCTATGCTCCTCTACTCTTCAAGATCCTCTATGCTCCTCTACTCTTCAAGGGCCCTTAGGGTTGTCGACAAGGTCTTCTTGGACACTGGAAACCGCTTATATAATATGCTCGATTTCCAGCTGCGTACCACCCGTTCTGTGGGCATAACCGCCATAGGAAGGCCCTGATGGTCCGAACCAATGGCTCTGGAAATGTTGGTTTCCTGATGGATCTTGGGAAAGAAACCCAGGCCTCTGTTGATATCCTGGAGGGTTTTTTGGTGGAGTTGAAATCTTGGAGGACAACTGATGCAGAGAAAGAAAACACGTGTCTCTGCTTCTGCAGTGAACGGGGCGCTCTTTTCTCAGCACAGTGTCTTTGTGAACATCTCTGGGCAGATCCTATTTACCAGAACAGGGTTTACGGGAAACATAGTTTTGGGGTGAAACATATGGTTTCTTTCTGGGAATATTTCATTTCACATGGGAATATTTGGAATATTATATTGTCATATTTATACTTGCAGAATCTGTTGCAGCTTGGGAACAGGAGGTACATTGCATTCCAGGGCGATACCTGTCTAAACTTTCCATGATATAACTATCATTCGTGGGCAAGCGATTTTGAAGTGCATGTTGACTGTTTACATCTGTTGACCGAGTATTATCCATTTCTCGAGGTCATTTATATACATGACTCCAACAAAAGAACGGACTTGATGCAGGATGAACTTTCCATCAACAATTTGTTGCCTTCTGAAGCTGAACGTCTGCCTTTCTCGCTAAACTAAGGCCTCGACCCCTCATTGCTGAAGAAGCAGTCCTTGCAAATGTCCTTCTCTTTCAATGTCTGGCCGCGCCAACCGCGACCGCAAAATGACACATGCGAGACTATACCCAAATGTCAAGCCACAACAACCTGAAGTTGACGAAGCAATCCAGACCCTTGGTTGCGCAAAGGAAGGGGTCTGGTGGAGTCAGAATGTCGGACCGTCAAAGCCAAATCCACATGCACCTGCTCACCTTCGGACCTCCTTCATCTCATTGGCAATACTGGACCCCGTTGCTCTCCGTGCACCCCGACTCTCGGAGCGGTGCGTTCGGTAAGGGATGCACGAGCGTTCAACGAAGCACTGGGGGTCTTCCCAGTCAGACTTCCTCAGGTGCACGGTGCAGGTATGTCTTTCTTCACGGCCCAGGTGCTACGCGTTCGGAACGTGCGGGTTCCGATGGAGATGGGGATTGGGAGCGTACCAAACGGGAAAACGAAGCCCCTCCAAAAGCAGCCCAAGGGTCCAAAGAAAAATCGAAACATTAAACATGACAATATCAAAAATGATCCAACAAAAGAGTTCCAACTTACAATTTCGACACACTCCATGGGACTGCAATATTTACCTGCAAAGGGGGCCGCAAAAAGCGTCAAGGTAGCCATTCCATATGAGGTGTCTGGGATGGCTTGGTGTCCCATCATTGGATGATGGAAGCCACTCCCTGGGTGAGACCGACACAGGGCGGGAACAACCCTTGGGGTCGGTTCGGAATATCCATCAAAACCCAATTGGTTCCAGATCTCCCTAGTTTCAAATGATTAAATTTAAAGTTAAATCATAAAGGTTACTATGTAAACATGAAATATATATGTATACTAGTTAAAACTATATCTGTAAACAACTAAAAAACAATTGAACCATAAAACATGTGATTTTTGAAACACACCCCAACTGGGCATCTCAAAAGTCGACTAAGATTTTGTGCTGGGACGAAAGAAATCGTCGGGTCATCAGTGAAGCTGCAACACCCGAGTCCAGCCCTGAGAAAATGTCCACTCAAGTGCAACATACAAGGCAAAGGTGCAAAGGAAGCTGTGTTTGACATCATCCATGATGTGCTCTGCGATGTTGATGACAAAAACTATGCCCACTTAAGTGAGACTTGAACTAAGGATGTTGGGACGTCAAGCGCATAATATGACGCCCGCCCACAAAAACAATTCATGAACTTCCCTTGAACATCTCGGCCTGGACCCTCCAGCAGTGCCCAGAATTCACTCATTCTGGTCCAGTGAAACATTCAATGGTACCATGTCTATACCGTGTTCTATGGTCGAGAACTTTACATAACATTTCCAAGACTGACCTGTACATCCAGGCACGACAAAGTAATTCCAGCCTCCAGTAGCTTCTGACAACGCTCCTTCTCCTGGATCGAGCCAAGCCAAAATAAATGTGAGCTCTGGGTGATATGTATATATATATTATATACAGTATATTTACATACACGTATTTTAGCATATCTTCAATTATATTACTATAAGTTGAGAACAAGAAGTCTACAAACCAAAACAAATCCTTGCAAGTTCGCATGCCAATGACTACCAACTAACCCGGGCAACGACTGTGGTTGCTTGACATTTGGAAATCATCGAAGACTGGTTAAAACGTCCGGTGCATCAGGTGCTTCTATGGGAGGTTTCTGCTTCTCTCCAGGGTTTCTCCGGTGAAGTACAGAAAGATCGGGGGATTCTCAAACACCTGTCTGTAAGGCAAGATTTTCCATGTAACATGAGCATCACAGAATTGTGCATCCCTGCATGTTTCGTTTGGTCCCTTCAAACTACAGCGTGTCTGCCAAATTGCTGGGATCATCTGCAAAAATTTGTCCCAAACACCATGGGCAGTCACCAGAAAAGGAATACCCCTTGACCCCTTGTGTTCAGAAGACCGTATAGATTCTCACTTTGCGTTGTGAACACCGAATTCCCACCTATTTTTCCTCGTCTCATCTTGGTTTATACATTTTATGATTGAATCGAACCAAACATCAATGCAAACCACGGATGTGCACCAATCCCTTTGTTTATTCCAACCTTTCCAGGTCCCGCCAACCTGGCGGAAAAGGCGGAAAAATCACCCCCCAAAAAAGAAGTGAATCGTCGAATGCGTCAAGTTGGTGTTTTAGATATGATGTAGTTCGAGATTTGGGAGGAACTTCGATAGCCCAACAGGCGATGGTTTCAATCCGATGTTTGTTTCCGTCCGGGTCTTCGGTAGGTATGTCCCGAACAGGGAACGATACACACATATGTGAACAACATTGACCCTCACGTTTTTTGGGGATGAACTGCCAAGGTTGCCACATGTCACAGGAGTGGGGTTTTCACATGTTTTCACTGGGAATTTTTTCTGTGTTTTTGTCAAAAAGAAACATGCGAAACGTTTGTGCGAACCCCAACCACAATTGGACAATCAACCAAAAAATTTATGGGATTGGAAGCTGTCCGCCCTGGACCCCAAATCCCCAGGATCTCCTCTGTTGACATTTGTTTTTTCGGCCTCGGTAGGGGAGTCCTCCTCAACCGCAAATGCTAGATTAGATTACAATGGGCATATACAGCGGGCAACGCCGGACCTCTTCTCGAGTGCTAAAACGTAGCTGGCACAAACGGACCTCAATCGCAACCGCTCGATCGCACTATATAAACACAAACGGACCTCCAACGTGATCGCTCGATTGCAGTGGGCGCCGCCGGACCTCACCCGCGAGCGCTCGATCGCAGTGGGCACCATGGACTTGAACCAGAAAGAATGTTGGAATTAAAGTATGTCAGCCATTTTGCCGGATGGAATTCCAAAATATACGCCCGTCAGAAAGCCAGAATATACGCCAAATAGCATGCCAACATATTTGCCAAATCGAATGCCAGATTCTATGCAAGATAGAATGCCATATTACACGCCGGTAAGTTTTATCTTGCGCCAATACTGGCAGTATAATAAATAGACACTTTCTTGGTGATGTTGAAGCAATATATAGCCATCGGTTGTCGGTTATCAGCAGAGTTTGATGCCATGGGGGCATCACTCGAAGTAATCCAAAGTACGCTTTCTACCACAACCGCTGAAAGGCACGGGGCGCGTGGATTGCGAGCGCAAACATAAGAACACTGACAACAAACCACGGTGGTGCACGCCCCGCGCCGTTCCTTGGGAGCACGGGTCTTGACCAGCAACCACGTGGTGTATGGATCAAACGTTTGTGTTCCGTGCCCTCCGAATCGGGATGACCTTTGAATGCTATTGTAATCCATTGTATGAACTCGACCATCTACAAGTCACATGCCTGACCATTTGAGAATGGTGTCAATATTGTAACTATACGACACTATACGTGTGTATGTATAGATGCTGTACATCCAGCCTTTCCGGTGCTTCAATCAGTGCACCAAAGGCCCTCAACATTGAAAACTGTAAGTTTCCCAAGTGGTTGAAAGCAAAGTTTCTTCGTGCCGAGTTGGGGTGGGTTTTGCGCACTGACAGATTGATCTGGTGAGTCATGCTTGTAAACATGTGCTTGCAGGTTATGATGGTAAGCCCGCTCCTGTCTACAGTGATGGTAGGCTTGGGTAACCTGGCAGAAATGTGGCCTGTGAGGCCCTGACATCTGTTACATCTGTTCTTCCCCGCTTATTCTTCGATCGGGTGCAGTTGCTACCTTGCAGAGCCCTCACCGGTGTTACATCATGGGACATGTTGGTCGATCTGTGCCAAGGCTGCTTGTAGCCAAGCCCGTGCGAAACAAGGTGATAAAGTCTAACTGGCATGATCACAAGGGATGTGCACGGGTCTTCGCTTCACTCTGCTTCGTCGTCAAACGTGTCAATTGCAACAATGGTGCCCTCTTATAAGGATTCGGCCTAGAAACGATGACAATGACCGCACTGCACTTCGGCTTGTTTTGGGCCTAGCGCATTCAAGCACTGCACTTGTTCATGGTAGCTGAGGCATGTCTCTATGAACACAGTATACTATATATCCGCAAAGCAGTTGGCATTTGGTTGAAAAGTGGTGTGCTGACGGTCCCACGACTGGAAGTAACAAGAGGTGGTGTAGAAACATGCATTAGTCAGCAGCCATCCTCCCCCAGACCGATGTCTAAAAACAATCTGAAAAGTAATCCTGATGATGCCAAGTGCTGTGAAAGCTAGGGGGAATCTGCGAGCCTAAATATGGAAACCAAAGACCCCCGAATTCATGTCACATCGCATCGACATCCAGCTGGCAAAACATACCCAACACCTCACCTGGTCATTTCCAACTCAAGAGGTCGGCCTCCTTGTCACCGACCCCTGGAGTTTCGATACATTGAGTCTTCCAACACTCATAGACCTCTGAGTAGATCGAGCCATGCTGACGGGGCTCGATGTGGTTCGGTGGTTCGAGAGAACAGGCGACCTTCAGCCCGGTGTACCCACCAATGACGAACACACCGAGAGCAACTCTAGAGGACCTTCCTAGCAGGGTGTTCAAGGGAGACCTGGGATAACGTCAACACCCGATGAAGTAACCCTGCTATTAATTTGGCAAACAATTTGTCATGGACAGCCTTTTTGATCCAAAAGTGTATCCAGGACCTCCCAATCAATTTGGCCTGTATATCTCCTGATGAATTCCCCACCTTCACTCCCTTTAATTCTGAAATTTCACAAACCCCTCATCCTATATGGTTCCTCCTCATGAAGAGATTTAGTCTTCGTGTTTTCTCCTCGCGATTCAGATCGAGCCTTTGGGGTTCCTTCTGAACATATCTTCCCATTGATTTGGTGTACCTACATGATTTGAGGGACATGACTGACATGACAAGCCTATTTCCTTTTTTTGTGGGGGGGTTGTTGTATCCCATCATCGGGTCTTCACATTCGTCACGTGTTGACCTCTTGGGAAGGTCTGACTCGGTATCTTCAAATTCGGTGCTGACTCGGCGAGCCGGCCTTCCGGGTGACTAACCCAAGTGGCAGAACAAAAGGCGCTTCGTTTTTCGCCGGTGCTGGTAGAGTATGCAAAGTGCTTGGAGCATCCACAGTCAAACCGACCCTCCTGAGACCCTCCTGCTATTCGCTGCTATTGGTTCTGAAGCAGAGCTGCTCAAGCATGCATCGACTTTCTTCAAAGCCCTTTGGAGAGAGGGACGATCTGCTACTTATGAACAGGATTGAAGAGGTACATCCACGACTAAAAACTCTCGAAGGTACATCCACTGGCGTGCGAAACGTCGTAGGTGTCATGCTCGAAACACCGAACACATAGAGCAAGCACTGAAAGGAGGCAAGAGTCCAGCAACCGCAACGTATTACACACAGAAAACACATGAAAACACGAGATAACACTATGTAGCAAGGAATGGGTGACACACCCAATTATTCGGACTCCTTTCTGTGACGAAGCTCCTCTCGAACTGAGACTCCAGCTTCTTTGCAGCAGGGTCCTCTTCCTGTTCACCGGCTCCAATCCCAAACCAGGCACGTGTGGAGTAATTACATACAGCAACCCCATGTCTGACCCTAATGTAGGTCTAATATGTATACATATAACTATTCCATACATGGATGATCTGGGGGGTGTCAAAGGATAGCCAATGCAGCCTGCAAATGCCACGAATAATTATGTTAACTCTTTCTGATTGAATGTTGCCCAAAGACTGCCAAAAACTGCGGTGACCAACCACAAAAGCACCACAAAAGTCGGTGACCCACACATGCGACATGTCAAGACAAAGAAAACCACAATGAATGACACGCCAGTCGTACTGTGCCGCGACTGGCTGTTGTGTATGCAGCGCCGACGCGCCTTGGCCTTGCGCTTCTGGCCTTGGCAAATCACAGGTCAAACACAATCTATGAGCCTTGCCAGCGAACACACCAGTTCCAAGGGGTGCTCATGGAGGATAGAGGCGCCCACAAGATCTCACTGAAAAAGGTCAAAGGTCGCCACCCCGACAGAGGTCCACTCCTGGCAATTCGTCTTCGGTCAGAATATGTCCCATCTTCTCTCCAAGAGGTCCACTTTTGTGAGTAGCCCATTAATCACAGTAGACAATCATGACCAACATCCCCCATCTTTCACAGCTCAGGGATCCCAAGGTTGTTCCCAAATAAATCCACACGTTGCTCAGTCACGTCAAGGACCGTGTCTTTAAAGTCTGCGCAAGCCCTTGTGGCCAAAAGATTGAGTTTTTGAAGCTTTATGGATCAATTTAGGAGTGGGTAAAACCTGGAGCACCAACATGATGTAGCTTGACCTTCCAGGTAGGTCAAGCAAGGAAACAAATGCCCAGAAGGCAGGAGAAAAAAAACACAAACACAAACTCTGAAAACAAAACCCATAGTATGTTCTCCCAGAGTGGAAATAAAACCAGAGTTGTGTTCTTGCCAAGAAACACCAAAAATGAACTTTTGGTGTCAGATTGCCTCTAGATCTCCCCCATGGCCCTTGCAGTGAATGCCAAGCGGCGTGATTAAAATACGTTGAAGGCCTTTTGGCCAATCAGAAGTGGAGGATTGTGGGGGCAAAATATTATCCAAACAGGCCTTAATACGCCTTGCAAAAAACAGGGACCGGAGCAGCTGAACCGTGTTCCCAGATCTCTGTGACATGAATGATGACAGTAAAAACCAGGAGTGTCCACCTACAGGCCTTTCCAGAAGAAAGGCATTTGATTTATTTTCAAAGGCCCCTTTTTCAGATCTATTTCAAGATTCATCAGCTGTGGAATGTGCTGTGTCCATCTTTGGGGGGCCTACGGTACTACGGGCCTACACTGAAGCCACCCCAGGACTTCCCTCTATCCCTGCAACCCACAGTTTCACCCTCCCTCCCTTCCCATCAACCCCTCCAAGCGACGCTTCTCCGCTGTCTTCGGCGGCGAGAACGCCGGCCCCGCCGGACTCGCGGACGTCTTGGGCGTCTGGGGCGTCTTCGGCGGCAAGGCCGGCGGCGAGGCCGGCGGCGAGGCTGGCGAGGGCGCCTCCAGGGCCTTGGGGCCTCCGAGGTCCTTCCAACCTGGGACGAAATTGCCGAGCGGTCCACCGACTGGAGGACCCGATCCATCAGCGATCGACCGGTGTGAGATTCGCTATCGCAGTGTTGATGAAACATGGTTTCGTGGTTGGAGAAGAAGACCGTTTGAGGACCAAGCAGGTTGGAAGGCAAAATGAAAGTGGCACCATATCAATGTCAAGGAATCTAGGCTTTAACTATAAAGCTTCTTCAGAGGGCTTCGCTGACATCGACCTCTGCCGGCTCACGTCCTGGACGGGAACCACCACCGTTGGTCGCCGGCGTTTTTGCGCCAAGCCACCTTCCACATGCCTTAAGAGCTCCCGATTCTCCTGAAGCTGGAGATCCCCAACCAAGGCTGTTGCTGCTGTCCCCTAGCAATTCGTTGTTTAAATGTACAATAACTGAAGCATGTATACCCTCATCTTCAACTACTAAAGTAAACTCCGGCGCAAATGCACACCGAGTTTAACCAGGGTAAGGAGCGTACATATTTCGCTACCAAGTCTTCTTGATCGAGATGATTGCATTGCGTAGCTACTGGTTGTTGAACGCAATTATGACATCTTAACTTTGAGTCTTCTCAGATGCTAGGGTTGGCAATGATACCAAAGTAGTTGAAAGCTCTGGGTATCTTAAAATCTTGAGAAACCATCCCCAAATTGGAAATAACTTCAACATCAAAACTTCCTGAAGACTAAAGTCACCCTACACCCATCAGTAAATCCCGTACATTGCTTCGGGCCTTTCTTCACCTTCGTCACTCCCGTATCTCCGTCGTCTTTCTGCTGAACCCATCCGAACATCGGACCCACAACGCGACCCCAACAGCACGACCGACAGGAGCCCTTTTCTTCAGCTCCGAGGTCCCGTGATGTCACGCGCCCCCCAGGGTCCTTCTGATCATGAAGACCGGACTGCAGGTGAAAGACGTCGCGGCCCAAGACCACGCACTGGGCGCGCGCGCGATCCCGCGAAGAGATCACGCAGTGCTTGGCCGGTCCGGTCTTCCATCGGAGCGAGAATCGGGGCGTGAAGGGGGTCACGGTTTGGATGGATCCATGTCTGCCATCAGGATCCACTAAGACCTTCTCAAAATACAACTGGACTCTGGCGCCTACATGCAAGTGTCTCCAAATATCCTTGTTGAGAGGGTATGTCGCTAAACAGGAACTTGGTATTGGTATCGTCAGGTTGTTATTTTCCCGCCTCAGAACTCTCTTTGCCGAACAGCGGCGGGTGTTTCACACTGCCTTCGCCCGGTACATCCCGGTGGATCCAACATGCACAGTGAAACCATGGGACGCCGCACAAAGGCCTGGCCGTGTCCAAACTTCGCAGTCTTGCCATAGTCTTCCCCTTCGAAGCCCTCCCTCCTCCATTATAGCAGCTGCGCCTGAGATACTTCGAATTCATCTCTCATCCACATCCGACCAAACGCCCATCCCCAACGGCCGCCTGCGCGTCCTCCGCCTTCCGCGCTGCCGGATAGTACTGCGGCACCGCCTTCCTGGTTTCAGGGGCGAGTGGGACTCGATCTGCCGTGTTTGTTCGCAGCCACGAAAGTTAGCCGGAAAGAAAAAAAACCTAAAAAAACTTTTTTGAGCTGAAGTATTTATTTATGTTACTTATGTTTGCTATTTGTTCCAAGTGTTGGGCGGCGATGTGAATATTCCAGGTACTTCCAGGCTGGCATCACCATGGTCTGAATAGTTTGAATTCATGTTTCATGAAGTCTCAAAAGGTCTCGAAGAATCCAACTACTTGGCCATCTGCCGCATCTACTTGGGACTTCTACTCCCAGCAGGGATGAGAGTAACCCACATACATCACCCCCCAACAAAGTGTCCAACTTGACCCCCTCCCCCTCAGTTCAACAATGATTTTGATCCTAATGGTCTCATAAAACAAAAAAGTTGTCTTAGTGTCTTATTTGATTCTCCCCAAACAAATTTTCCAACACATGTTTCACAACATGTTTACTTCCATGAATCCAGATCCCCAAAAAGAACTTCAGCCCAGGATCCCTCCTCGTTTCTTTTCCAATCCCGGTGTCCCTGGCATCCCCAAGTGTTTCGCTCTTCTTCCTTTATATAACCCCAACCTGAGGGTTTGGATCAGCTCGGCCAGTTCGCTCCGGCTTAGCCAACGTTGACCCTTCTGCGTTCGCTCCGGCGCCTGCGCGACGGTGAAGCGTCGGGTCGAGCGGTGGCGGTACTGAAAAAGAGGGGTGTCGACGTATTGCCATGAGAGTGTATTGAAACATTAATATACAACATTGAAACAATTCTAAAGAAAACTGTATTGACATGTGATGAAATGTGGGCTAGATAAAATGTCGGGGCGAAACGACCAAGCTTGAGTGGCTAGGGCTTGATCTGATACATATGGTATTCAAAGAGCCGGAACAACTGCCAACCTGACAACCAGGGCGGGAGTTCATCGCTATCACAGGAGGCTTACTTTACTGTCCAGGAACCGGGACAACATTACAATCATTTCTCATGGAGGGGGATTCACCCATGGGAATTGAACCATCACCTTTTCTCCGCGAATCTAAGATGACTAGCCCTGATATTATTTCAAACCTGGCTTCACCTAGAACAAACAAGTGACATGTTGATGCTATAACTGATGCTGGGTGCTTCAGTTCAGCAAACAAGCAGTCACAACAATTTGCTTTGTCCGATTGATTGTCCATCAAACCATTCAACTCGATTTCTCCGATGGAAACAACATGCCATCCTTGAACTATATACTGTACTTCAAGACCAACCTGAGGCTAGTTTTACAAGAACCTACAAGTCTTTGGAACTTGCAACTGCAGGGGCCGGGGAAACAGGATTGCACAACAGTTCTACCCATCAAAGAAGGAAAACCAAGCTACGAGTAACTGAGCTCAAACAAACGTCAAGAAACAACAGTCCCGTGGGATGAGGAAAACAAGAATCCTTTCAGGGAAAAAACATCGACATATCATATACATATTATCTAGAAAAAAAACACAAGCACACTCATGCTGCTTGTTCTCTCAGAAACCACCCCCAAGCGATCCGTGGCAAAGAGCCCCAGGACGGGTGCCTCCTTCACCGCCATCGGTCGCGACAGGGACAGGGACGGGCCGCGGCCCTGTGTGGGAGACGTGCAGAGACCTGCCTTCCAAATTCCATCCATTTTCAGACAATAATGAATGAAACGGATGGAAGTAGCTCATTTGTTCACCAGCTGACTTAACAAGCTGCAGCTCATTAATGATTCACGAGTCCAATCTAGACAGTTGATTGATGATACCCCATATAGAAATGCTTTACACAGGCTTGCATCATACACAGTCTACAGTCTACATTGAACAACTTTGTTCCAAGGCACTTTTGCTATAAACCATGAGAACTCATGGGGCAACTGTGAATATCAATGACTTGAAAGCACTGTACCTAGATTCCTTTGGTTCTATATATGGTCGTTTGCAGGCTTCCCATCTGTCTTGAGCTGCCTGGGTTACTTTGGCGCACTGCACCCCGCCTCGTTCTGAAGGATTTCTGGGCGTCGTGGCCACCAGGTCAGTGGTGTACAACGACTTGGATTTGCTTAAGGATTCACCCGATAAGGGTGATCTATAAGGGTTTTGCTTTCTGGGTGGATTCCCCAGAAACTTCCCCAGAAGAGGATTCACCCATAGGCAAAAATTCATCAGCAAAACAAAACAGGTGCCATCAAAGCCTGCAAACTTTAATTAGGCTCATTTGCGTGGTCGCCTAGAACGAAATCTGCAATGCCAAAGACAGATCCAACAAATGACTCATAGGCCTAGCCCATACTTGATATATATATATATATTAATAATTATCTATATTACAGCCATCACGCTTTCAAAAATATGATCATAGGTGGAAGCCTGGCTCCCGTTTCCACCGAAAGCAGCAAACACCTTTTCTCCCGTTCTCGCAGGCGCAGATTCTGCTCCCGTGGCTTCGAAGGTTTAGCCCGCCGGATGCAAATGGATGCGGCCTCTGAAGGTGATCAACAAGCAGATCTGGATGCGGCGAACGGTGCTCGGAGTATGAATATGACATAAACTTTTATACTGTATATGACATACACTGAATAAATCTCCTGTTCATCATCGAACAAAGTCGATCAAACGAGCTGATGATCACAGCCTCCACCTTGATGTTCTTTAACCGCAGTCCTTCCAAATTTGGATGGCCAGGGCCCGCCAGGTGTACGTGTGTGTGTGTGTGTGCGGGTGGGTGTGCGCGTGCGCACCAATTGCTTCAAGTAAGACCTTGCTGACCTAAAGCATTTGGATCAGTAAATGACAACTCACGCCATGCTTTCACGGCCTGGCATTGTGTTCCAGGTTGTTTTGTTCCACCGGAAGAAGAACGTCTCCTAACTCTTTGCCATTCCTGAATTCCTGAATCCCTCAGTTTCTCTGCACAATAAGGGTGAACCTTTTCACTTCTTTGCTTTTAGTGGTGAAACCAATCCTCAGAGAAGGTGTTGCTGATTTTCACTTTTGGGGGGGTAGGTGTCACATATGACGAGAACTTCATAAACACCTTCAAATCCGCAGGCATCCTGCCGATCTAGCGCGTCAGTGCTTTGCATGTAGCATTGGCTCAGGATACAGCGCCTGTGAAGCCAAGCCATCAAACATGATCGTCAAAATGAAACCACTCTTGCCATGGATTCCACGCAGCTACCCAAGTCTTGTGGGTGTTTTCATGCCGCTCTTGGGTCTCCCTGTGCAAACCACCAGACACAAATTGAAAAGACACAAGGTCAGGTCAAACGTGCCTATAGAAGGCAGGCAAATCTCATTTCTGCGATGGTACTGTCAAAGGTCTGGTGACATGATCAAATGGGTGGTCGATACACGTATCCCCCATGTCAGTTGAACTGGGTGCTACTTCCATCTATGATAAAGTCAGAGTGTGTTTCTTTAAAGTTCAAAGTTTCCAGAAATGCACATGTTCCAAACCTCGATCTGCGGCTTCCATTGCAGTCCGTTTCAGCCCCTTCTTGCTCACTTTTTCTTGACTGCAAGACCAAACATCATGTCGCCCAGGACAAAGCAATCTGTGAGACTCTTGCGCAAGGAAATCATAATTTGCTGTCTTCAGTGTTGTTGGTCAAGAACATTGGTGTCCCCTTTCTAGAGAAACACCCAAAGATTCCGCTCAAAACAATTGATTATGATGGTTAGTAAAGTCCTTTCCCTAAAATAGTGATATGATGTGATATGTTTTTCTTACCGACTGATACAGGCAATAGAACAGACTCCAATTATAGTCAAAACTCACGGTTTTTGGATGGTGTTGGTATGAACAAGCAACACTGTGGTAGTTTGAGCATGGCAACTTGTCGTGACACACCCTAGCTGTGCATGCTCTGCCTTGCACAGGAGCATCCCCACAAACCTGCAACAAAACGGACCTGCCTTGCGCCGGAACAAATCGCGTTTTGAAAGTGGGATTCATTCTATGATTAAGAACTAGGATAAGCTACAATGGGGGTCTCCCGATACTGTTCACACATTTTCAGGGCATCCGATGGGGATCCGCTCAGTATCGCTGCCTATGTATATCCTATGTATGGTGGGGTCACATGACCTGTCGCAACCAACCCATTGCCAAGACCCCTGTCTTCTGCGCACCTGGGGCTTGTCGTAGGTCTTCTTGCCCTGCGGTTTGGGCTTATCGGAAGGCCTGGCAAGACGGACATCCACGGGATCATCTTCCAGCGCTGCGGTGTGACGAATTCATAGAACACAAAGACACACAAACACCTGAGATGTACAAAGTTCTCACATGCTGTCAGAGCGAAGGCCTGGCATCGCAGGAACTTCAGCATCTTCTTTGATGTTTCTTGATCAAAACAAGAGTTCAACCAACATGTTCCTTGACCCCAAATCATGTTAATTATGGATTCAATTGGATTCATCAACACACCCCTAACAACAAAACGGATGGTTTCTAGATCTCCATCCAACATCTGATTCATCAAACCCATATCCCTCAAACAAACCCAACATCCCCCTTCTCTGAATTCGGAGCTCTAAAGTGAACACCTCTGAAACCTTTTCAAAGCTCCGAACCGCCACGGACTCCGCGGTGTGGGCGGCGACTTGCGCGACCGTTGCGCGACCAGGTACGGTCGACCCTCGGAAGCCGCGCATGGCCTGAGGAAGTCGCCCTTTTGGACCACCGCCATGGTCCTGTCGAGGCGGCGACCGAGCGGCCCATGACAGGGTGTCACAGATTGTACGTCACATGGTACTAATCCACCACTACCATGGGCGTAAAAACGAGTCATACTATGAGTCATAACCGGACTCTCAGTTATAAAAGCAGGATCATCTAGGGAGAACTAACAGAGAGAACTATGTTGGTCCCTGAAACCATGGACTTCCTGTTGGGAGTCTTGTCGCTTTCGCGAACCCTATAAGTCGTCCAAGTTGTTTTCATTCACCGGAACAAATGTCGTCCTGACTGAGGTCTCATGGGATGTGTATGATGACAACCAGGGATTCCGGTGAAAAGTGCTCCCGATGGAGATCCCGAGGATGTTTGGAGTGCTATACCCTTAGCTTCATGATGATACGATCATACTCTTGTGAGCATGAAGTGATCACGAATAACATTCTTTAAAATATATATAAGTACCAAGACTCCAAGGGGTCAGGGGTCCGCCCTCATTGGAGTTTTCCTTCTTTTTCGGGCTCCTCCAGCATTTTGCCAGAAACCAACACCAAGTTGACCTGATTCCCAACAATACAGCAGGCTGTCTCAGCACCCTGTGCGACAACATCAGCCGGCCCTCAAATTTAAGGCCTTCCAAGGATGGGGATTGACCAATCTCCAAAGCTCTCCGAAAGCTCCTGAATCCTTGAGCTTCTTCCTTCAGTGGGATCATAAAGCGCGCATAGGCCTCGACAGTTCCCACCAAGAGTCAAGGAGGGGGCACTCTAAGTTAAAGAGATGCCAGTGGGAAAGCGGGTTGGTTCTTCAGACAGTCTTTTCTACTGAACAAGTGAAAGGACAGGATTCTTTGATCTGGCTAAGGACAGGACTGTTTCCCTTGATGAAGTCTCCAGTCTGACATGGTTGGCATCTCACTTGTATCAGGTTGAATCACTATATACCAAGCAACAAAGGTGCCGAGTCAATCCAGCTTTCTGTGGACATTCCCCCAGCGAAGAAGTGACAGCCATCAACTCCAAGCCGCTCGGCTCAGCCGAGACAAATGTTCATCCATCCAGAATGTGTAATCACGCCAAAACAAAATCCTCAAACATGAACTTTAAAGGGTTTGATATGAGTTTGATCACAACAGACCTGACAAATGATTAGGTGCATGATCTGCGCATATCAGAAATACAATGCTGAAACTGATGCTTTTTAGCGCTTATGCTCTGATGTGAATATCGTATATGTAGCGGACAATATTGCTTGTGTAGACAAGACATGACAAGACCACTTGACATTATTGTTGCCTTGGGAAGTGTAAACTTTGTTCTTCAATACAAATCTTATGGGGTGGGAACCGTTCATTTGGCTGTCCGTGGAAGCACAGCCCTAAGCCCAAGCGTGAGTAGGTAAAAGTCACACCCTGATGTAAGCATGGCAGTAAACTGCGTAGAGGAAGGAAGTCTTAGGGCCCCCAAATCTAAACGCATCTCCACGAAACGAACTAAACATCCGTCAAAATCTATGTACCATTACAATTACGTATACTACTAAAGGCACCTAATTACATAAACCGTAAACCTATCAAACAAAATCAAAAACAAACATGAAACTGCCTAAAGAACATGTCAAATCCACTTTCCTCAGGTTGCAACCTCGGTCAGCGTTCGGAAGTCAGAGGTTTTGCATGGCTTCCGCGTTACGCCCCGACCTCAACAAGGCACCCCTTGACATGGTCCATTTTGGACCCGGAGCTGGTCCACCATGTACCTCCTGGATAGGTGAACCACTGGGAATCCTGGGCTTTGAGATGTTTTGACCCACAGTCCACACCCTTCCCTCCAAGGCCTTGATACACTTGGCCATCTGATCCTCACGAATCTCATTCTGTTTGGAGACGATCTTTGGACAAATCACCTGGTGGTGGACGAGGGCACAGCATGTTGGGGCTCATTAAAAACAAACCCATAGTAAGAGTGTTTCTCTTCAGAACCTTTTCTGAACATGGAGCTACAAAAAAGGCTAAGCTACTGCCCCCCCAAATAGGTGGCTGAATGACTTTATGAATGACCTCCAACAAACCCAAACCTCCACTAGACGAAGGGAAGAAGACCTCCACTAGAGCTACTATACCTGGACCATCCTGGACCATTGGATGCCCAAAATGCAAATGTAAGTAGCGTGGGAGCTTCCAACCAAGTGACCCCAAGCGGAAGGTGCTGGTGGATACTGGATGTCTTTGGGATCCAACCACCGAGTCGCGCCGGCGTCATGGGGGACCTTCCATACCACCAGCCGCGTGCCGCCGCGTGGTTCAAGTTCAAGCCGTTTTGGGTCCGAGCTGCTCGGAAAAGGCGCTCGTTCTTGATGCCGATCTCATGGTGGGTGTAAATGATATCCGCCAGGAGCCTTGACAAAGCAAAGTTGTTGAGAGCACGAGGATATGGAGATAGAGGAGGACATATATACTTGGAGGCAAACAGGGAGAACAAGGTCATGATCACCCCAACAATTACCAGTATTGTTCCCTTCTTTACTCTTAATATCTAATAACATTTACTATATTTCAATATTGTCATTGTCATCATTGTATTGTATCGAACGATCAGTTGGGCCCATGCTGACACGGCCTTGAATTTAGTGTACATCTACGGTATACACAAGGTTCAAGCTTCTGTATGCTTTTTGTCATTGCTACATCTTTCTCAGCTCCAGCCTCGAGTAACAAGTGCACAACTTCTAAGTGGCCGTTCTGGGCTGCCATAAACACAGCCGTTGTCCCATCTGCCGTGGCTGCATCTTTGTCAGCTCCAGGTGCAAGCAACAATCGCACAACTTCCAAGTGGCCGTTGTGGGCTGCCATAAACAAAGCCGTTGCCCCATCTGTCCTTGCTGCATCTTTGTCAGCTCCAGCCGCAAGCAACCATCGCACAACTGCCAAGTGGCCGTTGTGGGCTGCCATAAACAAAGCCGTTGCCCCATGTGTCGTGGCAGCATCTTTGTCAGCTCCATTCTCAAGCAACAATCGCAACACTTCCAAGTGGCCACTCTGGGCTGCCATAAACAACGGGGTTGCTCCATCTGTCCTTGCTGCATCTTTGGCAGCTCCAGTCTCAAGCAACAATTGCAACACTTCCAAGTGGCCATTGTGGGCTGCCATAAACAACGGGGTTGCTCCATCTGTCCTTGCTGTGTCTTTGGCAGCACCAGCCTCAAGCAACAATCGCACAACTTCCAAGTGGCCGGTCTGGACTGCCACAAACAAAGGTGTTACCCCATCTGTCCTTACTGCATCTTTGGCAGCACCAGCCTCAAGCAACAATCGCACAACTTCCAAGTGGCGGTTGTGGGTTGCCACAAACAAAGCAGTTCTTCCGTCTCGTATTGCTGCTTCTTTGTTAGCCCCAGCCTCAAGCAACAATTGCACAATTTCCAAGTGGCCGACCCGGGCTGCAATGAACAAGGTTGTTTCCCCATTTCTGGTCGCTCCATCTTTGTCTGCTCCAGCCTCGAGCAACAATCGCACAACTTCCAAGTGGCCTTCCTCGGCTGCAGTAAACAAGGCGAATAACGAATCTGCTGCCCGATTTGTCGTTGCTGCAGGTCCAGCCTCCAGCAACAATCGGACAACTTCTAAGTGGCCGTTCCACCACGGCAACAATCAAGCCCCTTCCGCTTGGGTGCTGTGGTCTTTGAAGCAGTCTTTCAACATCACCCACGCGATTCTCCCGGCAGTACTGGATGAGTTCGTCCTCGTCTCATCATGCGCAGTTGTACACTTGGCAGGATTACCAGTTGTACACTTGGCAGTGGTCTCAAATGCATGTCATCCTGCAATTCGCCAATTTCGCCACTCATGAGTCTTTGCTCAAACCTTGAGTACTCAACCCGAGCTGAAAGACGTCGCTTTAAGTCCCGAACAGTCTTCCCACTTTCCACCATGCAATGCACTTCGTCCTCATCAAGCTCAGCGACTGTCTGGCCGGACAAAGCCGTCACCTCCATAGTTGAGGTTCTAAAGCTTCGAAAGTCTTAAGCCAAGCTCCAAGTCAAGGCCACAAACATTGCATCGTTACACATTGATACAAAAAGCAAGATTGGTTCATTGGTAGTTGAGGTTCAAAGACGGCAGGTGTGACGAGCCGTCCTCGACGTCGCCACATAGTTTGGGATGGAACGTATCAGGACCGTTTTGTGACCATCCCACACTGCTGAGAATCTGAGGAAAAACCGCCTTGGAGAGGGCGAACGGATGGTATTAAAAGAAAAAACAAACGGTGAATGGTGATCTCAAGGAATGTTCAGTTAGCCGGGCCAAACGAAACTGTTAGATGATCGCGTATGATCAATTATCAACTATAGTTATAGGCGTAATGGATCGAGATCTATCACGGCAGGCGAATTCAGCAAGTTCCACAGACCAAAGACTGGTTCCGAACGAATTCACAGGCCTTCTCAGAAGGTACGACTCCGACTGGACCCCTCAGGAGGCGCCTACATCAAAATGTATCCAATCAGCTTCTCAAACATGATGTGGTTCCTATTGGTTCCTTCTACTGTAGACTCTTGATGAATAAACCCTTCCAATTGAATTGGAAGTCCTCTTCATATATATGGGGGGTTATTAATCAAGAGTCGACATTATTCTCCTTTACATGCAAGATCACACACACACCTGCATCGTCTTCTCTCGGCACCATGGGTGGTACCTGGGCATCCTGGTCACTAGTTGTTCTAGAGACATGAGCATGACAAACGTACCATGGGTGGTACCGGGGCATCCCTCGTCACTGGTTGGTCCAAACGAAAACGAACCGCTCAGGCACTCCGGTGGGAACTTCCAAGTCAGTGGCCATGATGCCAAGCCACGACAAGAGTCAGTGAGACAGGAACCAACGGAGGTTGAAGAACCCGCAACTTATTATCTATCCATGGTCCTATTTACGGTCACTTAACCTCTCTTGGAATACCTGGACCCGACTTAGATCAGCACATGGCACATGGCACAAACAGGTCGACTCCGCGACTCAGTGTGGCCAATTTGTAGGGACTGACCTCCACTGGTGGAAACCGTTGGCCAAAAAAGAAAACCGTTGGCCAAATGCCCACGCACTCTCGCTCACTCTCACATTTTCGGGTTCACGAAAACACCTGCGTACTACGGTGTTTGCCAAACCCATACACTCCATGGGACTGCCATAGGACTGCCGCCCCATTGATCCCCCCAAACCACCCCAACTGATCGGCAGTCCGGACTGGCAGTCCCATGGGTCGTGTCTGGGTTCTGGTGTTTCTCCGCCCGACCAGATCCCCATGCCGCGGCACGAGACGGGGAAGCGGTCGATCTCGTCGATGACGCGGCGCGTGGCGATTTGGAAGAGCAAGCCATCACTCTCCTGGTGAATTCATGACAAGGCTTGCTACTAGTAGCAAGCTACTATGTAGTAGCTCCTGGCAGTACTACTAGTAGCAAGAAGCTACTAGGAACAAAGGGCATCGCTACCAGGAAGAAGCTACGTGTAACAAGAAGCTAGACTCAACAATGAGAACCTTGGCGTCCGTCCCGTCAATTAGTGAAAGTCTTTTGTGGTGTTGAGTTGAGTTGGTTCGTTTATTTAAAGGGAAAACGGATCAAAGAGTGAAAGCTCTTTTGCGACGATTTGGTGGGTTCGATTCATAGTTGATGGGATGTATTTGGTCATGAAGAAGCAATGGGTATACAGCAGCCTAGGAATCGAAGCATCTTTGATTTAACTTAATAACATTTGCATTCAGAAACCAACCCGTATTAAATCCATGTCAACATGGCAGGTGCCTCACCGCCATGTGTTCACAACCGATAAACCGGCCGAGTATGTCTTTAAACCTTGTTTATCGGGCAGATCTTTCGCAAATGCTGTGTGGAGTTTCCTTTGCCTCTTAAAGTGGCCACCTGGGGAGAGTCCGCACCACCCTGACGATCCTGGAATTTCTTGGCAATGGCTTTCCAATGAATCTCAGGCATGATCATCCGCATCCAGGTGGCTTCACTGTTCAGTTGGGATCCTCGTTCATTCAGTGAATCGAAAACCCCTTGCAGGTGGGCTCATCTTCCAAGACCTGGGTCTATATATATCCCTTATAGTAATGGTTCTTCGGGAAGCACCGGTGCTTGGAAGCCTGTAGGGCAAAAATGGCCAAACACTGTGATCTTCCCCGAAGCCCACGCACGGCTGCTGCCAGTTGGCCTTTAAAGCCCTTCCCATCGGGAGAATCACAATAAGTCAATACAAAACATGCCGCTGGCCACTGTCTCCTCGGGGCGAAGCAAAACAGCGCCTTCTTCAAACGCGAAGCAAAACACAGACCACCTGGAGCATCCTGTCTGGGTGTATAGTATATAGACTACCATAGACTACCCTACTTATGGGCCACTGGGCGAAGTGCTGAAAACACCCGCGTCACGGTCGGTCGCCTCGGTGTGCACGGACTGCAAATCCCCGGTGCGCTTCTGAAGGCGGGCACGCGCCACGGCCTGGGTTCGGGATGGAGCGAGGTCAGGGGATGGAGCGATTCGTCTGGAGACCGAAACAAAATGGATACCCCCCCCAGGGAACCAAAGGGACAAATATTGAGGTTCTCTGGCGAGGTACGGGAAACGAGGTATTCAATGATGTTGTTTCCGATATGTGTTCTTAATTCAGTGTGCCTGGACTCATCTGCAGCGTCTTCAGAACTGATTTTTCGATAATCGATGGAATCAAACAGATTCGGGGGGGGTGAACATCGAGGGTACAGTTCGAAGAAGTTCAGGAGCAAACCCGACTAGACGGAATCGTCACAAGAGGCATGGGCGAAGATGGGAGTAGGTAGAACATGGTACCATGTGGAAAGCCCGCAGGCTGCTGCAGGCTTTGCGATTCCATTCGTTGGTTCTTCTCCATGCTGCACTGCGGATTCATCTTGGCAGGACCGATGTGTCCATTTCATGTGCCTTCGGAGTCCACCTGATCCGTCCCCGGGAACACGAGTACAGATCTATATATATAGACCTGTTTTTGAGTCCAAGTCATGAGCCAAGATTCTAAGGTGCTGAATCGACGTCAGGATCCAGGTGAACACTTGGAGATTCCGAGCCTGGAATCCGAGCCTGGAAGTCTTTTCCAGAGTCATCCGGAGTCGGTGCTATGCTTCTGGGACCCCCACCCTAGTTTTTCCACATAGTTTCTATATAAGAACGATCTTGTGAACACCCAGGCCCTCAAGTAGAAAGCCATGCAGCAGGCACTCAAGTAGAAAGCCAATGCAGCTTGTTCTGAATAGGAACTCTTCAACCAGCCTACCTCCATGAACCAACATCTGCACTGCTGCTTGGGCTTCGGGCCCACAACATATGGGTCAGAGCTTCGTAGGACAGCTCATGAACGCGCCGCCCTTTGTCTCGGACCAACTCCTGCGAAAACGATGACGCCACGAAGGCAGAGGATGGCAAAGGGGCTGGGTGTGTGCTTTTGGTTGATTTGGTGCAGCGGTTTGGAACGGTTGGGAATTCTTGGGAAGGGACGACCACGAACATTTTTGAAGTGTTTTTTGAAACATGGGACGACCCCTCTTGGGTTGGGATTTCCTTTGAAGTGTGTTTAAAGGGGTCAAAGGGATGCTCTGTCCTTTTTGGTTTCAACCCATGTTTCATTCAGTGTTGGCCAATTCCTTTAGGGAATCGAAAGCACCTGCAACGAATCCCCAGTACATAAGTCAAGGCGACTTGATTCGGTTCCAAATTGGGGGCTTTGTAGTAGAACACATTAAACTTCTTGTCCAAAGGTCACTGCACATATTTTCGCAAAACTCCTCTCCATTTGGATTCCATGCGTTCTTTATTCTGTGGGCAATCTTGTGAGGCCAGCGAAGCGAAACCAGGCTGCACAGCGACAGCGATATAGAACTGAACGATCGATCCTTTGCTCTGACCCTACGTCCCTACCCCTGGCCACCACATCAGAGTTTTGAGTTCCTCCCAACGGTCTCTCGCGACGTGACTCACATCGATGTGTCCCAGGGCGCAAGGCTGACCGAGCGACTTAGTGTTTCCCGCGACGTGACCGATTCTACCGTCCCTTCGCGTTCAACGGCACCGATGGACGTGCTTGTTGTCCGTTCACCGTTCAACGGCACCGTTCAACACGGACCGCTTTTTCCGATGGTCTTTGGATCCATTGAGCGGGTCATGGGGGGGTGCTTGAGATTCCTTTTATGGGGTCATCGGTCATCACGGACCGCTTCGCTTGGGGTCAGACCTAAGATCGCTTCGCTTGGTGGGCTTCACAAACAAAAAGCCTCTGAGTCAGTGGGTTCAATCATCCCAAGTTGAACATTTGAACATACAAACATATCTTACGCCCTGATCGCCGAAAGCCGTCGCCATGGTGGAATCTGCCCACCCGACCCGATCGTGTCCTTCACAATGTATGAGACGGCCTGAAGTCGGTCATCCACCACCGTTCAAGAACACTACTCCCAAGAACATACCGTGCAAGTAACAAGTGATCAGTATGGAAGTACTTCCACATACTTCCACTCTCCACGTTAAAAGTCAAAAACAACAAAATCTACAAACATGTTAACAGCATTTAACAGCACATTAAAAAGAGAACAGACTTTACCAGAATATCTATCATATCGTATCATCAAGGTTTCCATCTGCATTGCTCTTTCAAAAGCTCTTGAGTACCTGATGATGGCAGAAACCAGCAGAAACCATCTCCGCAATCGCTCCCGTTGTAAAGTTTGCGCCTGCTTGTGCTTCTGGATCTCTTCGCCCTTCCCATATCTTGCCAAAGACCACAGCAGCTTAGCAGCAGAGTCGGCCGTCCAGTCGGTCGTCTTCAAGCGGCCTCATCTGTCTGTGTTGTTGTCGGATTCAAGGAAGGACGGCACAACAAAAGGCGAGGGATGAAGGGTGGCGGGGACCTCCTCTCAAGGCTTCTGGAATATGACCTGACCATTTTATACTATTCTGACCACCTTCCACATTATGTAAAATGCAAAACCTGTTGTCGAGATGCCACAAATAATCAGAGCTATCTTAGCTTTCGATCCTCAACACTTCTTTCACTCCGATGGCTGCCCTGCCCTGTGTTCAACTTCGCTTCCGCAAAACAAAAGACCTCCTAATCACCAGCACCAAAACCGCAGGAGGTCTCCGTGTGGAGGCTGAAATGCAGACTTCGAAGTCGCAGGAGGTCTCCCCTGGCAGTGAGGGTCCTGGTACAGATCCATGCGGTTTCCATGCGGATTCCCCAAATGAACGGCCTGACGGCCGCGAGGGGCGGGTCAGCCCGCCGCTCGGGGGGGTCGACTTCGACTCCCCCACCCCCGCGAATGAGGGGGGACGTTGGATTATACTCCGGCTGTTACTAGTTGTATATTGAACATACATTCAGATATTCAGACTTTGGTGCAAATGACTGGGCTTGGCTCCAGGTCGAATTTAACATAGTTTCTGCTGTTGTTGTTGCTGTTGTTGTCTATAAGGCCAGATGTGTTAAAAACACAAAAATCCACCCAGGCAATTTCAGACCTGGCCTCATCAAGAAAAACACGTGAACTGATGTGAACTGGTCAACCCGATCTACTTGGCATTGATGCGTTGTTATGTGGATCACTCCCGTAGTCACGAGCGCATGAGTTTAGTGCATAGTAGGGTATCCTAGAGCTGAGGTGAGGTGATAATTCTTAATTCTCTGTCATTCTGCTGGTCATCCACCTTTGCCACCCCAAGGCGCAAGGCGCGTACCATTCTGAAGCCACGTATCGCCCCATTCACTTGACCCCGCGTTCGCCGGCTTTAGCGCGGTTTCGGACACCGACGGTCCCAGCGACTGAGGGAGTTGGCGACGGCGCCTGCAGCGGTCGGAGCTTGTCGGACGTGCCGGGCTGCGCGATCAGTCGGGCGCCAGGGTCGGGACAGTGCTGTGCGATCGGGGCCGGACATCGAGCTTCCAGGGTGACATGGCATCACCCTAAGCCTCAAAAAGAGTCTGCTGGGAGGCTTGGAGGCCAATACCAAACACTCCGGACTGGACATCTCTGCCGCCCCACTCCCCGAAACCACCGACCACGGATTGGCCCAAATGGCCTTCGTTTCGAGGGTGAGGAGTCTGCAGTCCACGGATATGGCAAGTTTTCTTTTGGGGATGTAAAAGAATCCTGCTATGATGCTAACATGTCATGTTATCGTCATGTTTTTCGAAGAACATCCAAAGAGAAACGTGCTTCATCACATCAAACCAGTTCACAAACATGTTAGTATACTGTATATACAACAGTCGAGTGATCTAAGGGACCACAGAGACCTCTGTCTGTCAACTCTTGGTACAACATGTGGTTTCTTTGTCTTGGCACAGTCTAAACCCTTTCTCTGGGCAAACCGCCGAACCCACGGTGTTTTCCCGAAACTTCGATGAACCCCATGTAGAACCCCACTCTAAGGAAGGGGATCCTTTCCAAAAACAGCAACTCAACGATGTCAGCTCCGTGGGAAGCGCAATGCTTTTCATCGACCTCCCGTGTCGTCCCACACCGGTCATGTCGCGAAGAAACCCACGACCGACTCGCTTGGGACGTCGCTTCGGAGCTCTGCAACCATATGATATATGTGTTTTCTTCCAAAGCATCCTTGGGACTGGAAGGTTTATCTACATTGACACTTAAAACATCCTATATAACCACCCATCCATGTAGGTAAATACATGCAATGTAAATACTTTTTGCATGGATTGCCGATCATCAAACCTTCTAAGACGTGCGCGGTTAGGGCCACGTCAAGTTTGAGATGTTCAACACTCACGCTATTATGGCAACTGCAAACATGAGCCTGAAACAAACCAACAAAACTGGTTGCGGATTGAAGACATTCCAACAATGACTCAATTGGGATGAAAACACATATGGAAACTGAAACTACAAGGGAACATCTTCCAAACCACCACCTTGGAAAGCTAACTGTGCCATTGTAGACTGTCGACATTAGATCCAGTCCCGACACTTCCGAAACATTCAGATCCTGGATCCTGGGTCTTCGGGAGGATGATCAAGCATTGTTTTGCTCCCCAAGAGGATGCAAAATGGTGAACCAAACTTTCCGTCGGGTTCGTGTGAAAATCTCTCCACCCGATAAATAAACATGCGCGCAAAACCAAAGAAACCCAAGCTATGGCAAACACCGAACAACTGCATCTTCCTCGATGCCACAGGGGCCGCTCACCTCACCCAGGAACAGCCGCGTGCTGGGCTGCCCCGGCCCACGCTCTGCGCAGCATCCCCCCGGGCATCGTCGGGGAATTTGGCGAGGGCTTCAGCCTCGGCTGGGCGGAAAACAGAAAAGACCACTGGGCCTGTGATGGGCGCAAGGGTCAACAAAGAAACATCTGACAGTGATGAGGGCGGGGGGTTCACCGTGTGTGGTCACGGTTATAAGGCTAGAACGGCCTCACTGTGTGCTGTCAAACGGTCGGTGACACGGAGACCAGGACGATACACTGTAATTACACAAGAGCTTTCCAACAAACTTGAAACAATCTTGCACGCATGGGCAACAGTGGTGTCTACATTTTCTACCCCACAAGAAGGGAGATGATTCCACTCTCTAACATGTCTATTGGTATAACCTGAACAGAAGGCACGTTTCTTCTTCCCCAACAATCCAAGCGCGCAAAAGATTTACCTGCATTGACAGCCTAAAAAACCTTAAGCGACCCTAAACGCCCTAAAGTAGGCAAATATTCCAACCCTGCGGATTGTCTGGGTTTGGGGTGACATCTTTCTCTGTGGGAACCATATTCACATAGGCCCCTCATGATGCTTGAACTACGCTACCTTCAACTAGTTGTCTTAATTGAGATGGGGTAGGTGTAAACATATGTCAACCCTTGTTCGGGTGTCAAATGAATAGAATCAAGCATGAATCGAGTGGGTCTTCCTGTGTTTGCAACCTGGTGGGTCTTCCAGGGGTTCTTTGCTTGGGGTGCCCTTGACCAAACTATATACTTGACCATTGCTTGAGTTCTGCAAAGCCTGAAACAACCAGGAATCACGGCAGGTTAACACCTGACCAACCCCCAACTGAGGAAAAAACAGTTCGCACCCAGTGTGTGAATGCATGCTGTCCTTCTGGTAAGCGCTTTGAACACTTTTTTTACGCATCAGACTCAGATCTTTGTGCTTGAGCACGCACACGCCAAACATTTATTGCTGTCTGTCACATCAAACTGACTAGTCATTTTGTGTACGTGTTTTGAAATACATCTCAACAAATCTGAACATTAAAAATCAACTCCTGATATCAATTAATACTTGACCTTATCAAAGGCATCCCAAACATACATTGTCAACAATTTCAATAATTCATTCGAGGCTCAGTCCCACAACTAAATTTCCACTAGTACTGTATAGTTTTATGTAACAATTGGAATGAATCAACTCATGTTCCCACTACCAATGCCCAGACTCTGGCCGTTTTCTCGTTGGTGCACCCTTGTCAGCTTCAGCTTGAACCAGCAATCGCCTGCGGGTTGCTACAGATAAAACCCTTGCCCCATCTGTCCTTGCTGCATCTTTGTCAGCTCCAGCCTCAAGCAACAAGCGCACAACTTCCACGTGGCCGTTCTGGCCTGCCACAAACAAAGCCGTCACCCCACCGGTTGTTGGTGCATCTTTGTCAGCTCCAGCTTCAAGCAACAATCGCACAACTTAAAAGTAGCCCTTCTGGGCAGCAATAAACAATGCTGACAACCCATCATCTGTCGCTGCTGCATCTTTGTCAGCTCCAGCCTCAAGCAACAATCGCACCACTTCAAAGTGGCCTTCGTGGGTTGCAGCAAACA